CATGTCAGTCACTCCCCTCGGTCTGCTTGTCTGTATGTCTGTGCGCTAATCCTCGATTCCGTTTCGGAGGCTCCTAATCATTTTCATAAAAAAAATTCAAGGAGTTTAACATTCCTTGATGTTAGTATATACATGCACTTCCAACTTCGGTAACTCTATGCACTTATTGAACATATTTCACACATCGTAGATTTCCGCGTACATTTGCACTTAAAACTAAAAAGTATTGTCAGGATACGGGTTGCGTACCTATCGGTCGCACTTGCCATGCGCCATGCATCACGAGGTTGTGAACATTGCAGCTTAGCTAGTCGATCCGTGTGACTTATAAAAGCAAGTAGCAGACGACGCGGCAATGCGATTTGCATAAACTAGGTGGGCGCGATGTTATCTATAAATACGAGTGTAATTTAATGAGGTTACTTGACTTCGTGAGGTAAAATTATAATATTAGTATAGTTTGCATAGTTGAATAGTATATACATAGTTGTATAGTATGTATCGTTGTATAGAATATATACTAAGTGACATATAAATCCGAATGAATCCTCTCGAAGTGCTTCTAGAGTCTGAGGAGGACGTTGCAAATTGAGCAATCTCCTACCAATCATATCCCACACGTGCTCAATTGGGGATAAGTCGGGAGATCCTAGTGGCCATGGTAACAATGTGACATCATTATGTTGAAAGAAGTCTATTGTGACTCTTGCAACATGTGGTCGGGCATTATCTTGTTGGAAAGTTGGATCTGCCAGGGTGTCAAGATAGGGTAAAAGATGGGGTTCTAGAACTTCGTGGATATAACGCTGCGCGTTCATGTTACCTCTGATGAAGATTAAAGGTGACCTGGAACCATAAGCTATAGCACCCCAAACCATAACTCCACCAGTGTGATGAACATGTCTTTCAACAAAAAACTGTGGATTCCGCCTTTCACCACGTCGCCTTCTAACCCTGGCACGACCATCGTGCATGCCTAAACAAAATCGAGACTCGTCACTAAAGACAATACTGTTCCATTCCTGATCCCAGAGTGACCGTTGTCTGCACCACTCAAGGCGATTACGTCGGTGTTCTCGAGTTAAAGGGAGGACCCAGTGTGGCCGGTATGAAAACAAGCCAAAACTTCTCATTCGTCGGTAAACACTTCGCATGCCAATAGGTCTTCCGTATTCTGTAAACCATTCATTTGCAATGGACCTGGTAGTGGAGAAACGGTCCCTTAAGGCCAATAATCTTAGGCGGCGATCTTCAGTGTCTGTTTTTCCACGGCGGCGTCCAGTGCCCCTTGCTCTTTGCGTACGGCCTTCTCGAAGCCATGCCTGACAACACCTAACCACAGTGTCTACACTTCTTTGCACTCTAACTGCAATTGCCCGAAAAGAAAGTCCAGCTTCCCGAAGTCCCACTATACGGCCCCTATCAAACTCACTAAGTTGACGAAATCGTACAGGTCTCCGTACTCTAGGCATCGTAACCGATCGTAAAGGATGTCAAGAACCAAAATCCGCCAACGTTGATTCTTTACTGCGGCTGAAATATTCATTTTTAGAGTGTTAGTGAATTAAAAAAAAGCAATATAAAAACAGGAATGTCCAACTGATAAGGCTGAAAATTTTTTCACTTGTTATTTACAGTAAGATAAATACATTCACCAACTTGTATTAAAATAAAACCATTTAAACTGGGTGTTCGGATTTATATGTCACTTAGTATATATTTGTATAGTACCAAGAGATATGATAATCAGTACATTGTTTTGTACCAGATCTCCAAAGAAATGAGGCTAGCTCTGATTGCTTCCATCTGAAATTGTTGTTCTGATAAAACCTATACCCTATTTTACAAGTATCAATCACGCCTTGACGTCTACTGAGGTAAATAGATGATCAGCAAGTGGCATTTCTGTGTTGCGAAATTGGCAATAATGAATCGGGTTTAAATCTAGTAAAACTGATTTGTAGCGTTTTATTTTTTCTATGCAATTGAATTTTTCTAAATAAAAGAGTTGTTAGCAAGTTCAAAATAAATACAAAAAATTAAAACAAAATACGACTCTGATTCCCTGACGTTGACGGATCCGTCGGATTTATGTGTCCAGTGCCGGGGAATTTTGAGATATTACTAGATAAGCAGCTGTCATTCTACCGTGATTGAAACTCGTGAAATAGGTTATACGTCTTTTTGATGCAATTTAAAAATGTACTAGAACTTGTTTCGAAGGCTTGCGAAATATCGAGTCAACCTACTTGGTGCCATTTTCTGTAATTTCAGTGAGATTCTACTCGATCTAATATTTTAGGTTATCCTTGGAAAAACATCGTTGAATGGCTTCCTATAAAATAACATAGGAAAGAGCAGAAACGGAGAAAGTTTTTCAATGATTTCAATTTACTGGGTTGCCAAGTTCCTTTGAAAAGCCACAAGGCACTGAAAAATCGAACAATTTAATAAAACAAAAATATTTTTCTCATAGTGTCTGATAACTTGGAAGCTATTTGCTCAAGATAGATGATAAAGATAAGAGATCAGAGGGACTGCTCCACATTATTGGTCAAGTGATGGTTTATCGCATGATTCTGTTTTTTTTTCTAGGATTTTGCGCACGTTAGTCACAAAAGACTTGAATTTGCACTACTTTATACAGGGTGTTTCAGTTTATTGTTGCATAACTTTAAGATTCGATAGAACTTTTAAAATGAATGCATAAAGTCTATATAAACATGGGTCGAAAAATGCGTGGCTTCCGAAATTCCGTTTAAATTTACTTTCTAAAATATTTTTTTTTAAATATTTCGAACAATGTTTGATGTATAACAGTGAAAATGGTATACAAGGGTTTTTTGGTACGACAAAACGAACCATGGGCATAGTTTTACTGTAGCCGCTAGAGGGCGCCCTCTACTGTACCTGTAGTGTATTAAAATGACCGAAAATTTTTTCTCAGTGCAATTTTTTGCTTTTTGGTTAAAAAAACTGATTTCTCGCACTTTTCAACATAAAAAAGCTCTCTTGTGAATTTTCGTTATAGTTAGCCGTTTTTGAGATATTTCGATTTTTAAGGTTCGATGCATTTTTAATTATTTATGATAAAATGACGTTAAAAAGTCAGTATCTCGATAATTTTTAGAAGTAGGCTGTGCCTCCAAATATTTTTGAAATTGAAAGCAGAATAAGGTTAAACGTCAATTAGTTGACAGTTAGTTTTGTTCTCTGTTGAAACCTGAAACGTTTTTCTGCAATTGTGAATGCACGAAATTTAGTTTCTTTTACCTGTTTTTTTTGTAAGTTTTATAAACATGCCATTTTTATTCTCCAATCAAGAGTTAGCGGATATTCATTTTGTTTATGGCTTTGTAAATGGAAACGCAGCAGAAGCAGCCAGAGAATACGCACGAAGATTTTCAAACAGACGACATCCAACTCGCTCAGTATTTGTAAGAGTGCATCGCCAAATAATTGAAAATGGTTCCAAAGGGATCAAAACATAAATGTTCGTCAGCGCAGATTTACCCGTATGATTCTGCGTGAGTTTAACAGAGATCCGAACACAAGTGTTAGGAGAGTTTCTGGTGCCTTGGGAATTTCAGCAAGCCATGTTCACCGTGTTCTTAGAAATGACGATAGACGTCCTTACCATTTGCAATCTGAGCAAGGACTACAGCCAGGTGACGGAGAACGAAGAATCACATTCTGTCAGTGGATTCTTGATAGAACTTGGTCGCATGAAGATCCGCATGCAGTTCGGGAAAGAAATTTTCAGCATGAATTTAGTGTGAACGTGTGGATTTTTATCTACCGTAATCGACTATTTGGACCCTACCTTTTGCCTGCAAGGTTAAATGCTGCGACCTTCTTGGAGTTTTTTAAGTCTGAACATGCAAATATGTGGGACGATGTTACGTTAGATTTAAGAAGATTGGCCTGGTTCCAGCTTGATGCTTGTCCAGCTCATTATTCTAGAATAGTTACAAACTGGCTGGACGAAAATTCTCCAGAAAGATGGATCGGCCGTGGAGGACCAGTCGCCTGGCCTCCACGATCCTCTGACCTAAATCCATTAGATTTCTTTGTGTAAGAAAAAGTGTACCAGACTCCCGTAACCACAAGAGATATGCTAATAGACAGAATCAGGAATGCATGTGATGAAATAAGGCCTTATTTGAATAATGCTATACCATGTTCGATCATTCGTAGATATGAATTGTGTATTGAAAAATTGGGTTTACATTTCGAGCAACTACTTTAGATTTTGTATGTTTGTCCTAACTATCCAATAGCATTTTAGTTGTAAATAATTGTTAAAAATAATATTGGAAAATTAAACAAATTAATATTCTGTTTTTTTGTGTTTATTTGGAGGAATTATTGCTGTGTTTAAAAACACAATATAAACGATCATCTTAAGTACTTGTAAAAATATTCGGTCATTTTAATACACTACAGGTACAGTAGAGAGCGCCCTCTAGCGGCTACAGTAAAACTATGCCCATGGTTCGTTTTATCGTAACAAGAAACCCTTGTATACCAATTTTCACTGTTATACATCAAATATTGTTCGAAATATTTAAAAAAAACTATTTTAAAAAGTAAATTTAAACACCCTGTATTTCGGAAGCCACGCATTTTTCGACCCATGTTTATATAGACTTTATGCATTAATTTTAAAGGTTATATCGAATCTTAAAGTTATGCAATAATAAACTGAAACACCCTGTATATGCGTGTGCTATAAACCCTTGAAAGGTTTGGTTCGGCCTTCGAAACATACTCTATAACAGATTCTAAACGTATTATCAAAATCAATTAGCCGTGGAACGCCAGACGCGCATGCCATAGCAACGGAATTGTTTACAAAAGTCAAACACCTCCTTGAAAGCTTATTGTGAAACAAATTATCTGAGGCAGATTTAACTTGAAGAGTTCTGTTCCTGAGCCTTAAGGTAAGCAAATAACCGATGTATTGTTCCGCACATTAAACGTATATCTTTTTGTAGAAAATGAAGATTACCTTAACACTCATCGCCACGCTGTTGGTTCTTGTTGTATATGGAGAACCTGATGTGAACATGACAGTTGCACCACTAGACCTTGAAGAGGCCAAGAAAGAATTGACCGAAATTATCAACTTAATACCGCGAGACAACATTACTGCAATTGTCAACTACCATTTAGCAAACGACGACGGCTTCAAAGCTGCCATTCTTCACATGCAGACACCAGAATTTAGAGCTTTGGTGGACAGCATTAGAGCCAATCCCAAGTGGAAGGCCTTCAAAGATGCTGTCAGAGCATTCGGATTTGACGTTGACCAATTGATTGAATGCACCAGAACCTTCATAGAAGATTCCAAGGTAGGCGATGTTGACCCAAGTGCAAAGAAAAGCCTTGCATCTTTCATAAGAGACATAGAAGAGGTCATCCCAGTAGGGCAGATGTTGATGACCTTTGCCAAGAAGAAGAACCTTCAGAGTTTCATACAGCATATGTCAACTAACGGGACTAAAGAGAAAGTCATGGATGTGCTTAAGGTCCCAGAGGTGAAGAAGTACATTGAGGAGTTGTCGGATATGGGACTGGATGTTCAAGATATGTTGTCACTCCTGTTTGCAGGTTTGGGTTGGGGAAATCTTAAGATGCCATAGATATTTGTTTTGTTGTGTTGTTCACTGGTGGTTGTTATTTAATATTTACGTTGTTTACTTTCAATAAACGGTATATTTACGTTTTCGTTAGTTATAAGACTTAGACACGGAGATAATCCACGTTGCAGCTGCGGAAATACACGAGTCTTACAGAACCTCACATTAGAATATCCAAATTTTACTAGAGAACATACCGAATTGTATAAAATTTCATCGAACCACCTTGGTCTTGAAATTTAGACTTGGTTCTCAGGTCTGAGAACCAGCATTGTCAAAAAATAGCCGTAACCATAAGATGTAAATAAGTTTCTCTCCAAAAAACGAATGTGAAATAAAAATTGAAGAAAAAATTATCGATGTAAAGTAAAATATATCAAAATTAAAAAAACAAATGAAAAAATAGAAAACAATGGCTGATGTAACATCTGAAACGTGCCCTGTGGTTTTCATGTCGATAATCCCCAAGGTTTGGCTGATGAAATCACATTTAAAATTTTTCTCCAATCCATACCTTTTGCCTTAATTTAGAACGACTTCCCCGTCGTCCAGTAATTGAATATGATACTTTTGAAGATGGTATTAAGATGATTTCCTTGAAAGAGAAGCCATCAAGGAACCAAGATTTTCACGAATGATGTAGGAAGGATAGTCACTTAAAAATAAGAAAATAGAGATGTAAACCCTATAGATGAATGCAAAACATAAGTTCCGATGACATCATTATTATTTTGGTATGTATAGTACTTTCTTTGAAAAAACTGTCCAAAATTATAGAGCTTTTATTGAAGCGGCTAAGAAGTATTGAAAACTGCTTAGCTTCTGCTGAATTTGTGCGGAATCAGTCATATGATCATTGATCTTGATGACCTTTCTTGAATTCCAATTCTATATGAAATTTAGTACTGTTAAAAGATCAGTACCACTCAAATGTCTTTTGATCTCCTCAACAAGTGTTGTTATCATCTGACCTGTTGTACCAAGAAGCTTTCGCTATCCTCTTTTAAAGAACTAAAATCACACCAACACCATATTTTTTTTGGCATAGGGTCCAGCTATGTCTCATTTTGTACATATCTGCTTGAGTTCAACATAGGAATCCAAAGATTCATATGCATGTGCCATCTAAATAGAAGCTTGTTCGCTGAATATTATAAACTGGTGTGCTACTAGTAAATCCATTGCCAGTTTCAGGCTTGATTCTTCGTTATCCCAACCTCCGCCCAGATATGTTTAGAATTTTATATGATCACATCTGAATTCAGCATTCCCAAGTCCCAAGTGTACCGAGCTTCATTTTCCAAATGCCCCGAAAATGAAATTGCACTTTGCCGTTCAAAAATGTACCTTAAGATCTGCAATTTTTCACTAAATAGTAGCATGTAAATGATAATGGGATTTAATGTATCCAGGATGACTTCTGAATATGTTTAAATGATCTAAAGCACGTATATAGTCATTTAAATTGCATTTAGGCCATTGTAATTTTTAGTGAGCATATATAGGAGCATTACGTTACAAAAAACGGCGTCAAGTAGGTTGACTGAGCACTTCTCACGCAACGCAGTATATGGGCACAAACTGGACCCTAAGAGAAAAAAAACAGTCAAACAGGTCCATATAATTAGTTCATAAACATTATTTTCTTGCCGTACCGGTAGTCCATCTAGCAACAACGCCTCTGCTCAGACAGGGCAGCGCAGTCACAGCATAGGAAACACTATGCTGTGGTGAGGTAGACATGTATTTATTTTATTTATTCATTTATTTATTTACTAGTATATACACTATCCGAACGGTTTTTTACACCATCTAACGGATAGGGACATAGGAACCAATTTTAAAACCAAATTGTTCTAAAATAACTTAAATTTGCCAAATGATATAACTTACTGTTATGTAAAATCTTTTTAAGCTACACAAATTACAAAACAACAAATCTACATATATCGGAGAGGAAAGCAACGCATTGGTTATAGATATGTTTAAGTAAACGTATTTTGAATTGGATCGCGTCTTAGCATTAGGTACATGAATAAGAATCTTACCGAGCAAATAAGTAACCAAAATCTATGGCATTATTAAGCATTTTATATAAAAATACACAGGCAGTGTAGATTCTGCGCTTCTCCATGTTACAGAGGTTATATCTGCTAAGTAATACATCATGCCTGAAGTCATCTTCCTTGTGCCACAAATATTTCACAAACCGCCTCTGAATACGTTCAATTTTACTCGAGTGAACAGGATACCATATTATAGAGCAGCATTCAATTTTGGATCGTACAAATGAATTATACAGGGTGCGGCAGAGAGGACGGACGTTTTTGGGATGTGTAGTACTCTCCGCCTCCGTCTACGAGAGAGGTGGGGAGGGTGCCGTTTGACTCGTGAGATCCTAGCATTATTTTACCAGTTGTCGTTATGGAGCCTTGGACAGTGGAGCACCGCGTTTTCGCCTATGATTGTTTCGTCCGAAATAATGAGTCAGTCATCGTCGTGCAACCTGAGTTTCGTCGCCACTTCAACATTCATCGGAATATAGCTGTTCGCACCATCCTTCATTGGGTTGAATCACTTCGCAGGCGTGGTGAACTGATCAACAGAAGACCAAGAGGAGCGCCGAGAACAGTTTGAACTCCTGACAATGTTGAACGCGTTCGACAGGTCTGTCTTCGCAGTCCGATTCGATCTGCGTAAGGCGAATTTTGCATATGGATCTCCGCTTTCACCCCTACAAATTGGCCATTGTGCAACAGTTACAGCCCGGAGATTATGCACAACGAATGAACTTCGCACATGAGATGGAAGCACTGATCGATCAAAATGAGAGCCTCATTTTGTTTATGAGTGACGAAGCCCACTTTCACCTAAACAGCATGGTTAACCAGCAGAATTGTCGTTATGATCACCAACTTCTTTCTCCCTGAATTACGACGGCGACGTGTTCCAATCCGACGTGTGTGGTTCCAGCAGGATGGGGCGACCGCCCACACAGCCCGAGCATCCATGGACGTTATTCGCCCTCTCTTCCCTGGTCGCCTTATTTCCAGGTTTGGCGATGTTCACTGGCCTTTTCGGTCACCAGATTTATCCATATGCAATTTTTTCTTATGGGGACACCTCAAGGCTAGAGTATACGCGAACAAGCCCCGAACTCAATATGCGAAACAAATGTAAGTTTGGTATCAAAGTATATACCTTAGTCATGAAACTCTTCACACATGCTAAGTTGCGAATTATCAGGGCTATATATGAATCTGATTGGAACAAGTTTGCGCGTAATAGACATAGTGTAGCATTTGTCAGCATTAAGGTACAGCTTGTTACGGTGACACCACTTATTTAGGTTTCTCAAGTCGTTTTGCAATATGTTACAGACGTCCATGGTTACAATTTTACAAAAAATCTTCAAGTCATCTGCATATAGAAGACAGCTACGACGTCATCAATGAGAATTTGGAAAAGCAAAGGGCCAAGAGCAGACCCTTGAGGTACGCCGGAAGAAGGTAAAATCTGAGTGGAGGTGAAGCCCCTGTATTCGACTTTCAAGTATCGGTTTGTAAGATAAGATTTGAAAAAATTCAAGAATTGAAGGGTCAACCCTCGCGTAGCTAATTTCTTTAACAAAATACTGTGACCTAGGTTATCAAAGGCCTTCGAAAACTCAACCAACATCTACCTGCCCCCCTTCATCAACAACTTCAGAGAAAAACTGTTTAAAACATGCTAGATTAGTTAAAGTAGATCTGTCTTGGAAAAAAGCATGTTGATTATAATCACAACAGCTAGTGTAATAAATGCGTGTAATACCAGAACACCAAGGCCGGCGACACCCCGTGTGAAGTAGACGCAGACCCGGCTGGTAGGTACGCGATCCGTCTGCTGAGAATGTTTTTCCAAGTTTTAAGGGCTAACGTACGCAGAAATCTATGATGTGTGAAATCTGTCTAACAGGTGTGTAGAATTACCTATGTTGAGAACGTGCTTACGTCAAAAATTGAGATAAACCGTCTGCACGCCTTAATAACTTCCCGTTACCAATTTTTTTTCAAAAATGATCAGTATCCTCTCAAATGTCACAACACGAAGTATTATCGTTTTAACTCGTTGCCACTGGACCAATTTACAATAACGACAAAGTTTTTTTGCCCTTAGCACAGTAGTAACATTGTTTAAAAATTCAATCAAAATCAAGTTATAGGCGGTTGTAGGATTAGCGGATAGACAGACAAACCGACAGACGGACAGACAGACAGGCATACGAAACCATGTGGCATAGTTTTTCGTGATTTACATGTCATATAATGTTAGTAGGCGGGAGAAGTAAAAAGGGCCAATTCAGTCTATTAGATAATTGAACCTCAGCCTCCCTATAAAAAAAATGTAACGCAAAATTCTATATTTTATTAAGAAACTATATTACAGGTGAAAGAAAACCTTGATTCATTTGAAGTTTCATAACATAATATAACATACATACTCTTCAGAAAGGAAATCATAGATTTCATAAAACAATCTTGAGTAGGAGAATATGCTGGATGCATACGAATTTTCAAAGTAGGATTTCAATGAATGTTTAGTGCTACAAAAATATTAGTTATTTCTGCACCTACAGATTATTGCAGTTTTTAAGAGGTTTGCTTTTTGCGCTGGAATCTCTTAGCCAGTCGTAACAACCAATTTGGAATTCTTTTTGATATTTCAGCCTGGAGTTGTCTATACGCCAATACCAATAGTACTGGAACAGCTAACAGCTCATGTTTGAATATGTACAGCCAACATGCTACAGCAAACATAGCTAGATCAGTAATGTAGTCCACAGTACTTCTAACAGTGACCTTTGCCCTCTCCATAAGTTCATCTTGATATGCCGGACTTGATGTTCTTGAGTAACCATCACTGTCAAACGAGTTTAGTCCTTCTGATGTTTGGGTCATTATTTCCTTAAGAAGAGGTCGATGTCCAGAATACGTTCTTGTTCCAGTTTGCGCCCCAGTAATACATTGCCTCATAGGAGATGGTGAGGCTTTTCTTTTACCTGGTATCTTTATTGGTGATGGTGATGATTTCTTATTGGATTCTGTGTTCCTCATTGGGGAAGGTCCACTCTTTCTGCCCCTTTCAGTCCTCATTGGTGAAGGACCCGTCCTTCTGTGCCTAACTGGAGAAGTGCCCCGATGTATATTTGTCTCTACTTGGTGATTTGGTGGACTCCAATTTTCAACTCTTACCGGAGACATGGCTAGTTGAGGTCTATGTCTCATTGGAGACGCAGAATATATTCGTTTTGGTGAGGGTGTCTTTTGACGAGTAGGCGAAGGTGTTTTAACATGATTTGAGGCAGCTTTTGGTGTTGTTAAGCTGTCTCTTCTTTGCGATACATAGTGGTCAATAAACTTATTTGTCTCTATTTCTGGTGGTTCCTCCCTTGGAGGCGATTTTTGGTAATCAGGTGAAGAACCTTTAGCATGACTTAAAGTAGTGGTTGGTTTTGTCAAACTGTCTCTTCTTTGAGATGTATAATGGTCAGTGAACTTATTCGTCCCTAAGTTCTCTTCTGCAGTCTCAACTTCTTCTTCAAAACTTTCGTTTTGTGAGCTCTCAGCAGCCTTCTTTAAGGAATCTCTATCCATATAAATTGGAGGATTACTTCGCTTCTTAGCCCCATAGCTTTTTACTATATCACCATAATGATCTATAACAACCTTAGCTTCTTCCTCGTCTTTCTTCTTGTCCAAAAGCTGCCCTGGTATAACTACACTAGCTGCAGTAATACCTGATATTTGAGCTACGGCGGAAACAGTATGCATCAGATGAGCTGGCTTTGAAATATCTGGTAGATCAGATGTTGTCGGTTTATTAGGATACTCTGACAACATAGACATGTACTCTTCTTGTAAGGCATGATGTAAGGATGCAGACCTTTGTCTTTTTGGTATATTCCCCGTACTAAGCTTTTTAATGGCTTCAAAATCCTCAGGTGTAGCAGCTAGAGATTGTGACCGACTCCTATTGAAGTTGTTGTTTGGGGTTGGAGAAACCTCTCTTAGAGGAGACAAAGGAGGTGATATGCTATTCTTTGGTGAATTTGGTGGCGACATGCTTGGTATTGGTGACATTATTCTTCGTATAGGAGAGGTTGGCGGTGACCTAGCTGGTATAGGTGACCCAGCCCTTCTTGTTGGTGACATTGGTGGTGACCTTGTGGGTATTGGTGATCCAACTCTTTTTGGGGGCGGCGCTGGAGGAGAAGTCGTTGGCAAAGGTGTCACGATCCCTTTATCGGATTTTTTAAGTATTGGTTTTGGTACAAAATCTGGACTTGGCGGTTCCTTACGCTTTGTCAGTATCTCAAATGGCTTGTCATCGCTCAGTGACCTCAATGCTAGACCTCCTGGATGGTATGGCTCTTCTTCCTCAGAATCGTACGACTGACGCGTTGAGATGTCTCTTGTTGCCCGTAACAGTCTTTCATCTTCAGATTCTGATATCTCTGAATCAGACTCTGTACTCGAGGTATAATCTTCGGCCCAGTTTTCCTCGTCTACGACTTCTATTTTTCGCCTCTCGAAGCTTGATTGACTCTGTAATTTAAAGATCGCTATTAACTTCGAACTCAACAGTCGCCAAAACGTGTTACAAATATTACTTAAACCACTAGACTTAGCGTTGACCTAGTGTTGCTTGGCAAAATAGAATGATTCCTCAGGAAAATAAGTTGTTTGCATCTCACCTGCATTCTACGCCTAATATCTTCTAGTGCCTGCTCTTCCTTTTCTTCAGACTCCGATCTCTGCCTGTCCATCATCAGTGACCTCTTCTCATCTGCAGTCGCTGAGATTTTACTCAACGACCTCTGTTGTATAAGTTCGTTCCTCATCTCAGCAGGGCTCTTAAGACTCGCTCTACGTTGAGCCCAAATCGCTTGCTGATGACTGATCCCACCTGCTGACATCCTTCTCTGGATTGAGTTACGTCTTTCCAGTCCAACTATATTTTGGTCATCCTTGGAGTTGATGAGAATCTTTGGAACGCTCATGGTTCTGCCTTCGCCTTCACAACGTCTTCTCTCCAGTTCCTTTTCTTCTGCCTCAGCTGCTTCGTACAGCCTTATCATAGCTCTTTCGTGCAAGAGCTCGGAAGAGCTAGAAGAGCTTCTGAGGATATTGAATTTTGGAGGTTCTTCGATGCCTAGCTCCGGTGCAGATAGAGACATTGGTGGAGGAACCAGATTGTCGTTGAAGTCGAAATCTGACTGACCTAGAAATGGTCTCGTTATTAGAAACCTGTCTGATTCAATTTTCGGGGCAGGTGTAAAACCTTGTTGGATGAGACGATGCAAGAAACACTGTGCCTTATGACTGGCTCCGTGGATTGTATTTTAGTTTATTAAGTTCAAAAGGGTTCTGTAATAGAATTAGAAGTGAATCATCGAGGTTATTGTTGTTTTGTCATTTTGAAGATTTATCACAGTCTTGCATAATTTCTGATGAAATGCGAACTTAACTGTATATTTTGAAGATCACGGCTTAGGAAATTTTAAATGTGGACATTCCTACTTCAATGGGCGAAAAAAAAAATACATCATGACATATGACGGTAGGTTTTTTATAGCATAACGTAGGTTTTTCTACAAGAAGTTATTTTAGCTCAAGCTACACTTGTAAACTTGTTGTGAACTCGTTTTGTAGCTTACGTGTTGTTTAAACGGCAGCGAACACCGATTATAGCCAGCAAACATAGAATGGGGGATATCGTAAGATTGATGATAAGTTGCAACTTCGGCAGGGGTATCATGTAAAAAACCTAAAAAATCTCTTACAAGCGGACAAAATGTCATCTTGCAGACTAGGTAGTTTTTAATGTGCAAATAGTTCATGCCACATTTGCTCGCTATGATCGCTGTTCGCTGACGTTTAAGCAACACCTACAGCAACAAAGCGAGTTACCAACAAGTCTACAAAAGCTTGTGCTAAGTTAACATTTTGTAGAAAAACCTAAGCTATGTCACAAAGAACCTGCGAAATGTTAAAAAAAAAAAGACCAAATGTCACTTTTCAAAATACGTATTACCCGTGCCGGAACTAGTGTAGTACCGATATCAGTACAACTCACCAATTTCATTCAAGCCAGGATAGAGCACCAACATAAATTCCGAACTTCCAGTAAAATTCTCGCTGTTTTCCCTTGGTAGCTTCCTGTTAGACTTAGGACTTGGAGTCAATGATTTCTTGTCAGTTTGGGGACTTGAAGGTTTCTTATCCGCCTCTACATTTGGAGTAATTGGTGAATTTGCCACAGGCTCTGGGGTAGGTGACTTGTTCCTCGCAAAAGGTTCAGGTTGCTTCGTGTGAGCCTCTAGGCCTTTTTCAATCTTCACTGTGTACTTCTTATGATCTGTAGATTGATTTACCGCGGGGCTAGGCGTCCTAGATTTATCAGAACTACTGGAGTTGCTCAGGTACGGCTCTTTCCTGACTTTTATCTCAGGGCTGCCATAAGCCATCTCCCTTGCCATTGACTTGCCCGGTTGTTCAAAGAACTGTTTGTTGATTGTTCGATCTACCGGCTTTCTACTGGCTATTGGTGACATTTCAGGCGTCTTCGGTGGACTTTTGATCTTAGACCTCTCTGGTCTAGCAGGTGGTGCACTGTTACCAAAATGTACAACTTTATGCTCCTCTTCAGCTCTAGAAGATGACTGAGACCTTGGCTTCTTCCTCCTTATAGCTACAGGAGTGGTATTTAGGGATGACTCAATCACTTCCCTGGGTTGGCTTCTTCCTCTAGAAGGTGGCTGTAAGATGCCTCTCTTAGTGTCAGGTATAAAAACTGTTTCAGTTTCTTCGCTAGGCTCACTCACCCCATAAGGGCTTTCTGCTTTGACTCTGAACTTGTATTCACTACCCTCTATGAGGTCTCCAAGCATCGTGGTGAGCTGTCTACTTGTAGCTGCTTTCAGCCACACGTCCCATCCAACACGGTAGTACTCTACGATGTAGTTGCCTATTTTGCAGCCTCCGTCATCTTCTGGAGGTATCCAGGAGAGTGTAACTGATCTTCCGAGAGCCATGACAACTCTAGCCCTACCTGGCGGTGCAGGTTTATCAGTAACAGTGACCAAAAAAGATTGGACGTCTTGGCTTATCTTGTTGACAGCCTTGATTTGGTACTCTCCTCTGTCTTCTCTTCTCGCTTCGCTGATCTTCAATATGGATGCAGTTTCGAAAGATTCGATTTCGCAACGGTCGCTGTTCTTGAGTGATTCTCCGTTGTGAGACCAAAACACCAACGGAGTCGGTCGTCCTGCCACAGACACCTTGAGACGGATCTGTTCTCCAATCTCGAAGAGCAGTCCATCTTCATATTGTCTTGGCAATCGTATACTGGGGGGCGCTTCAACCTAGACAACAGAAAAAATATTCTAGAATGTTATGTTGCGCGGAGTAAAGCCAAAGTAATAAATAAGAGGAAAATACCCCTGGTTCGCGTAATAATTGTAAAGTCTGGTTTTATTGCAAGCTGTTCAAGAAGGTATTCAGAACATGGACGCATAAAATGGGTACACCAATTTTTGTGGAAAAACTTTTTGTTCGTCAACAAAAAATGATAGTCCGCCTAAAAAGATTCTGTAAAAACGACATAAATGCTAAGATTTAAGTAGCCAAAATTTCGAGGTCTCCGCCAAAAGCACATATATCATATAAATATTTCCCCTGCTATTGATCTAAATACCGCACAAGTCCGCGACAGGATAGGAAATGTGTGCGATTTGCTGGAAATTTAATCCGGTTTTATATAATCATTTTGTTCTTTTTTGAAGTACAGGTAATATTTTTCGAACTTCGTTTTTTTTTCTCACAAAAACAACTTATGTCCAACAGTTTTTAATTATTCTTATTTGAGTACTTAAGCACACATATTATTTTAGTGAAGAGCATATTTTTTAAGCTAGTACTAATAGTAATCTGCAAAAAAGTATTTAAGAAAATTAAAAGTTTTGAAATAAATCGTTTTTTCTGTTTCCTGAAAATTTTGTATTTTGGACATATGTTGTTTTTGTAAAATACACCCCAATTACTCACAAACACGAAATATTTGAATTTGTTTAGAAGAAAAAAACGTATCTAACCTTTGTCTTTCGTATAAAAATAACATTTATCTTTCGGAATGGTAAACACGTGTATTTTACTATTAAATGCTAAACTCGTAGTCATGACCGGAAAACAGGTGTTTTGGCATAAACAATTAGAAATTCTCCAAAAACTACTTGACATTTTTACGTGTGATCTCATTTTGTAGGTCTCATAAATACCTAAAAATCTTATATGTTTTTTCGTTCCTATAACACGATTTCTCATTCTTTGTTGTCAAAAAAAGTTTTCCCACCAAAATTGGTGTACTCTTTTTATGCATCCATGTTTTAAATACCCCCTTGAACAACTTGCAGAAATAAAACCAGACTTTACAATTATTTCGGAGAAATTTGCTAAATATGATTAGACTCCACTCCACTTCATATTGACTTGAATGGGGCTTAGACTAGAGATTGACCGCTACCGACAATTTAAACATAAGTATATATATAAGAAACCCAACGACCTTCTGTTTTGACAGCAATTGTACAGTCTCATGCAGCAGCAGCAATGCGTTTGTGGTGGATTCTGCGTCAAAAAATGGAATTGAAGTTTTTTATTTTGCAGTTTTTTATGTGTCAAGGATTGGCAATACATGAGTGACTGTGCCAGATTTAACAATTATGGGTGAATGTTACAGCGTCTTTGCCTTCATTTTTCAATTAACAACTCCGGAAACTCTTAAAACCTAAAGGAAAGCTTTTCATTTCTATATTAGTGCTTGCAGCAAGAAACTAGAGTCGCATTTTAGTGAAATTTGGTTTTATTTTTCATTATGAGTCGCATCTTGTTCAAGATACCGGATGAAGCTGTACAAAATCTGGCGAAATAGCGCCGTAGGGAGTATTTATATTTGAAAAACAAATAAAAAAACTGACTGCGTCCTATCGAAAAGAAAAAAAATATAGAAAAGAGGTGTTAGATCAATACAAATAATGAAAGTACATATAATTACATATGGTATTTTTCTCAATTGAATAACTACGAGCTTCATTATCTCTATGGTTTTTATCGGCTAAGCAAATATATGCAGGCCGTTTTAAATTCGAATCTCACCATTGGGATATTGAGAACGGTAAGAGATACGAAGTCGGTTGAATGTTGAATGAATTTGAGATGGGACTTCAAAGTAAAAAGCCTTTTGCACAGTTGAATAGCGTATTCAATTCTGAGTACAGATGTATATGTCATACATTGACATTGACGAGCGTCAGTTATTTAAAAAAAAACAGGGTTTCTTAGGCCTTCAAATTATCAGATGGCCATTTGTTTCATGATATCATCAGCCAAGCATTCCTTCAGCTTTTATGAACCAGGCATAGGTGGACAGCCCTATTTCCAATTTTAATGATGTGATATTTTACAGATTATGACATGGATTGGAATTGTCAAGCTTCTTATGTCGAAAAATGTAATCATGCTGGTCTTAAGTCATCGAATAAATAACAACCTAATGTGAAAACCTTGTTGCATCTTCATAAACACACTTCATATCGCTCGTATCTAAACCGATGCACATATTTTGTATTCAAATATGTAATTACTATTAATCTACAGCTGGTTTGCTATGTAAAGCGCCTCTGTCGTCCTAAAACAATTATTCGACAATTATTGGGCAAACTATCTGGATGTTCTCTAAACACGGTCTTCAGAAATTAGAACATTAGTGATTTAATCGGATAAAGATATGATAAACTGTCATTTTCAAAGCCAATTATGATGATGTCAGTTTTATATAAATAACTTTAGTTATGTCAATGTATGTTAAGTCATATATTTTTGAATCACAATTATAAACTCTATTCAACCGTGCAAAAATCCAAAATAGGGTCTTTAAGAAAGAATAAAGATGATTATTAAGGATAAGAGAAAAAGCATATTAAAATTTTAGTTCTGTCAACTTGTAGAGGAAAAAAGTAATCTTAACCAATTATTTATTTTGAAGTTGCATCTCAAATAAAGCTAGGAAAAAATAAAGTTGATTTTAGTAAAATTTGGTTTCTTTCATCTATCTTCGGAAATACCCGGAATTGCAGAACTTTCTACGTGCCATTTTCTTATTTTCCTAAACGCGCAACTCTGCCATCATGTAACCGAGTTTGTATCTCTTATCGGTAGACGTACATCGGCAAACTAGGCTACCGGTGTCGGTCAAGTCCAGAAATGCCTAACCTATCTATTAACGGAGTCACCACAGATAATACGGACCATTACATATATCTGGATAGAGAGGTTAAAAGCAGATTTGATCACCACAAGGAACTAAAAAGACGCTTAGAAATAGCAAGATGCAAAGTCGGGGTTGGTCTATATGAGACACACCCAATGCTACCTGAAGCTTTCGCTGTCCTAATCGTACTAAAGTCCTTTATTTCGCCTCTATTATTGTGTAGTTGTGAGACGTGGATATTGAAAAAGGAGGATACAGACTATCTCCAAGAATTCGAGATGTAGATGTAAATATGAATCCTACAGATCAGATGGACGCAGAAAATAACCTACTAGGATGTCTTACAGATGATAAATATATCCCATCTACCAGCCTTAAAATCTGAAAACCCGTGTATTTGGGACACCTGATAAGGCTCAAAACTTATGCAAGTTATGATACTGATCAAGGAGAAATCCTGGCTCCACAACAATAAAGAGGGAACTACAAGCGAGGGCGCAACCTAATGATACTTCAGAAGTATTCTGTCTAAATAAATATAAGAATCATCATAAGAAGTTCAGATTAGCTTTCCTTTTCAAGTTATAGAACCTGCTTGGGCAACGAAATGCCACTACACCCTGTGGTCCAAAAAATAGAAAATTGAGAGAAATGGAAATGTGAAATAAACCCATCTTAATTTCTCTGCAGTAGATAATTACCGTTAATTTCCATAAAGTTGGTAAGCAGGTAGTACATATATCCCAAACGAGCTACATCGATCATCTGCCAATTTAGTTTTGTGAATGTTGGTGAGATCTCACTACCAGGAAACAGATGGAAAAGTTTCTTTTGTTGACTAGTGAATAGTCGCCAATCTGGAAAGTGATGGCAGCCAGGGGGAAGAGGAGGAGTGGTGATGTATAAGAACTTCTTTCAACTTGTACTACTTACGGTAAGCTTGGCCTTGGTGGACACGTGCCCAGCACGATTTGTGGCAGTGCATTTGATCTCGCCTTCGTCAGACAAAGAACTTTGATGTATGGTCAGAGTGCTTCTATCGCTGTCTGTGATGATCCTTATTCTGCGACTGCTGAAGATCTCGAAGGTGTCCTTGAACCAGCAGACTTTTGGTGCTGGCTGGCCAAGAAAATTTACCTGCAGAATCAGTACTTGCTATAATTAAGTTATCTACACCTAAAAGTGTCTAGTCAAGGCAGCATTAGATATTGGGTAATTCGCACTTTGGATTTGCTTATTGTGTGATGTACAGACTAGGTATTGGTCATGCTGAGTTTCGTCCACCTCCAACATCCAAATGATAGAGCTTTTGAGTGAGTAAGTAGATAGTTCAAAGTTTTTATTGATCTCAGTTTCAAACTGTAGGTGTGTTTTGTCGTAAATGTGGCATCTGAAAATTTCGAGATGGTGGTTGGGCTGCAAATTTTTAATGAAAATGAAGTTTTATGAGATTCATCGTTTTGAAGCTCCTTATGAGCACTTTATGAGACTGTCACGTTTGAGAGCTTTTGCACATTGACTTACTCAAAACACTAGTATTCAAAATGAATATTCTTCCTTTGGGAAGGTCTATCAAAATCTGTTATTCAATATGGAACGTTCTTCCCAGAAAAGATATATGGCTTTTTGTTGAGTAATAATAAACTCAGTGTTCAAAATTTTCTCAAACTTGACAGCCCGAAAGTCCGCCATTTTAAAGATAGTGAACTTAATTTTCTAGGGTTATGAAGTATACATCACATGACTCTACCCTATTTGAAAAAACAAGATTTCGCCCAGTGGGCATCTTGAATGCAGAATTTTAACCTAGATCTAACAAAGAGTAGTTATACCAAGAGTAAACAGAGAGACAGAGAGAATTAAGGATGTAAGAGATGTAACTCAAAACATGGCGTCCACAAAACAGCTAAACGCGTGCTGTTTTTATTTGGTCAGGGATAAATGCGGAATGGCAAGATAGAGAATCCCTTTTGGATGAATTCGTTGCCCATCGTTTGTCGCGAAAGGATTTTTTGATCAAATTTAATTTTGTTTGTTCACATTTATGCATCGTGGGTATATTCATCATTCGCTTGCAGTCTACGAAGTATACTTTTTTTAATAAAGTTATAAATCACATTTTTCGCGAATGCTCTCAACGTCATGCATATCATACGATTTACTTCAATAACCAAAAATTTGCAGTCGGCTCCCCTACCATAATGTCGGAGAAACCCAAGGTCCACGTAGCCAACCAGCAGATTATAAAGACATTTCATGAATGGTTTTCTTTTGCTTTAAGTACTCTTTGCTTAGAAGTTGACCAGTTAAAGCAATAAATGAGGGGATCATAAAATCCCTATATATTTTTAATAATTAAAAAAGCATATTGGAAATTGTAGGTGTTATTACTGACCGTGAATTCGATTTTTTCGTTTTCCAAACCAGTAGCATCTTGAAGCTCTTGGGTGAATCGAGGGGCAGTAATGGCTGACCTCTGCAGGGTCACGGTTATGGGTTCGGAAAGTTCGCTGGGATCAGAAATGCCTACTGCGTTTTCGGCACGCACCCTAAACTGGTACCTGAAAGTATTAGAGCAACCTCCAGTATAGCCATGTAAATTATAGGAGAGTAGCATAGATTATCACACGGCACCGCTAACACAGAGTCCGGGAAGTACTTTTGCATCTGCTAGGAAAAATCTTCTCCCTCGATTTTTTGCGTAGCCTTACTCAAACATTGTTCAAACATTTTTTGAACACATTCTAAGAATTAATTTTGTAGCTCCGCGCAAAAGTGCTGATGTACTTTTCTTTAAGCTTCCTAAACCAGTAGTACTTAAGCAGTACAAATGGTAGTCAGAGATAACTGCGTTAACAAAGCGTGCGATGCGTTATGCTACTCTCTTCCATTTTGGTACCCAACTACATCTTTAAGCATTTTAGACCATTGGGCAACCATTACATTCTGTTTGCTTACATAGCTATTCAAAAAGGTTTATTCGTTTCGATATGAACTTTATCGTATTGGAATTTAGAAAGACGCGATAGTGTACTGTTGATAAAGTTTGTTCAAGCAACGAATTCCACCGCGAAAGAAATGCTACTGGAGCGTATAGGAATATATCAAGAGTATTTTGGTGAAGATGCAGTTTCTAATAGAACATGTGGAAGATGCTTTGAAATCGAAATGAAGCAGCGCAAAACGCCATCTGTTACCATAATCGACCGTTGCGCGAGGGTATATCAGCTATTGGTTGGAATTGTGAAGATCTCAGTTCGCGTCCAGTCACCATTATGGCCGCTAGATTTTGATGATTCTGGCGCTAGAGTATATGTGATCTATTATGCCGTCAGAATCTTCAGCTACTACCGGTTACAGTGGCGACTGGGCTATCTATCAAGCGTGAGCTGTTATCTTTACACTCTCGCAGAGGTCGATAAAGTTGGCGCCTTGCCCTGTCTTATTTCGTTCGTTGTCCTAGAGATAAAGCCTAAACTATTCTGATGGGTTGCCAAAAAGCACAAAACAGCTCATTATGGCGCCCTTATTTTTAATTAAAAAAATTAAACTAAATTTTCCTCATGATTCATATTTAATCAGTTAAGGTAGTCTCGTGGACGAAAGCAGCAAGTTTTTGCTTAGTATGTTTAGAAATATTTCAAACGAGTGATTTCGAACCCATTTCACAACCCATTCTGTGAGTGGTCTTCTTTGGTCGATGACACTACTGCTATGAGCATCTTCGATCAAAATACTTTTTTGGGATCGCGAAAGGATCGATTCAGTTAAAGAAACTATTTGGGACCATATTTTGGAATTGGGATTAGTGTGGAGGGTATTAGAGATGGGTGTCAGATGAGTTAAGTGAGAGGAACTTGAGTGACAGATTCATAACGTGCTCATATGTACCTAAGCTTCCTTGAGTCGACCTAAAACAGGAGCTGGAAATTCTATTATTCACGAAAATGTCGTAAAGAAAAGAGCACGCTGTGAACTGGGATAATTTGCTTCCTTCATAGTGAATTTGAACCTGAGCAAGAAAATGTCGTGTGGATGGTAGATTATTTGAGGACCAATACATAAAGTGTTGTTGACATTGAATGAAAAGCCAAATTCGGAAAAGCATTGTCAGCAATTAGATAAAATTAAGATAGCACTTAAGAAAAGGGCGGCGACGGTTAGTGGAAGGAACAATGTGCTACTGAATGATAATGCCAGACCACCTAGAAAATCGCAGAGCCAGGCCGTTTATCGCACCTCGTTTACCTAGCAGCATCCGTCTTTCATCTATTTGAGTCGTTACAAGTGTTTCTGCAAGGTAAAAAATGAAGACAATATCGAACAACTTTTGGAACAGCTTTTCGCACCGTTTATAAAAACTAAATATGAAGATAGCCATCACGTACCGACAGTTCCGACAACCTAGCAACACGGCAACCCAGCACCCGGTTACTACGTACACGAATACACCCATCGTCATTCAGTAATCCCCAAAAGATATTTCTATCATTCAAGTTTTAAGAGCAAACGTACGGGGTAATCTATGTCGCACGAAATATGTCTAATATGTGTGTAGAATTACCGGGGCTCGAAAGGAATTGACATATACTCTCCTCCATTCCCTACAACTCCCAATATCCAATTTTGTGTCCTGCAAAATTTTTTCGATAGTGGTCCTCTGAAACGTCGAAAAACGAAACCTGAACGATTTTTATTTTTTTCGTATTTAACCGCAAAGCTTCTTAATCCTTGGTAGTAACGTTAGGTGAAAATTTCATCAAAATCCGAATATCACTTCCCAAGTTATACATAGACTAGGGAATAATGGACAGACAGACAGACCGATGGAAATGAGTGACATGATTTTTCGTGATGAAACATGATACCTCATTTTCTAAATTTTTCGAAATTACGATACTTCCATGCCAGTAACGTAGGAAGTAAAACGAGCAAAACTTTCCGTATACGAGGGATGTCTTTTAAGTTTTGCATATGGAAATAAAACAACACGGTAGGTAGTTTTAAATGACTTTACTGCTTTTCAATGTATTCTACACGAAGATTAATACACATATGCATGCGCTCGAACCAATTTTCGAAGCACTTATTCCACTCGTTTGCTGGCAGATCCAAAACGGCATGCTTCTTCTGGTGACTGGAACCTTTGACCACGCAGTCTGTTTTTAATTTTCGGGAAAGTAAAGAAATCGTTAGGACTTAGATCGGGACTATATGGAGGATGGTCCAATAATTCCACGTTTTCTTCCGTTAAATACTTGTTGCCTTGTTTTTTGGGCTGTGTACGAGCTTACATTGTCTTGGTGGAGGATGATTCTTCTTTCGGGGTTGATTTTTCGAAGCTCGGTGATGACTTTTGGCAAAAAAATGGTGGTATACCAATCCGCAGTAACAGATCTTTGCTCATTAAGAGAAATTGTTGCAATATGACCCGCTTTTGACACAAATGTCGCGACCATCTTTTTCGAAACACTTCGAGAACGGATGACTTTTGTTGGCTTTTCTTCAACTTGGAACACCCAAACAGCCGACTGTCGTTTATTTTCTGGTTCATAACTGTAAATCGACGATTCATCACCACTAACAATGCTGTACACATTTTTTGAGTTCCCGGAATTGAAGCGTTTTTTGACACCAATTAACCCTGACTGCTTTCTGCTCTTCAGTCAACAGGTGGGGTATCCAACGAGAAACTAATTTTCTTACTCCTAATACTTCATGTAAAATTTTTTGAATTGAGGTCTTTGAGATCTTCAAGGACGCCTCAGTCTCGCGATATGTCACATGTCTATCTTCAATGATGAGTTTGCGCATAGCATCGACGTTTTCCTGAGTGACTGCCGTTTTTGGTGCAACTACCCTGGGATCGTCGCTAGGACTCACCCGTCCAAGTTTGAATTCTCCATACCAACGGGAAATTGTCGACTGATGTGGCGCTTCGTTGCCGCAAAACAGACAGTAACTGAGCAAGGAATTCTTGTTGCGATAATTGTCTCTGAAAGTTGTAATAAATTATGGCGCGAAAATGTTCTCGGTTGAGTTCCATTTTTCTAATGACTTGGTGACACTTAAAAATTCACTGTAGTGAGAACACTGCACGTATTGTTGTGAAACTTTGAATTTAAGTTAGCTAAAGAGTCAGGTTAAGATTCAGTACTGACGTTCGATCCGCGCTGCCTACTATGTTTCTATATGCAAAACTCAAAAGACATACCTCGTTTTTATGTATTTGGAACACAAGGCACTACCTTGCCACTCCAGAGAAACCGATATACATAGATTTCGTGCACTTGACACTCATGTCTGTGGTGTATCTGCGTATCCGCAACATCAAAGTGATTATGGTAATATGTACACACATACCTCCATCCTGGCTCTAAGCCACTAACAGTAAGTTCAGGAAGCTGGACAAGCAGGGTGCTAGCGCGTACCCAATGCGGAGAACCTTGGCGACGGTGTTCCACAAGGTAGCCTTGTATGGGGGAACCTCCATCGTTGACCGGTTTTGACCAGCGGATGGTGACTAGATCTGCTGTGTTTTCGGTGTCCGAGGCGAGGTAAGGCTTACCAGGTGCTTGCGGGCGGGCTAGAGGAATTCATAGATCAGATTTTTTCAATTGAAACTCTTCTGACTGGAGATGCTATTGTACAAATATAATTAGCTCAAGCGGAGAAAATCTGATCGGTGCTTTTGCCATTTAGGTCTTGCTACTGTACTCGTAACCCTGGGTGCATAGTGTGTCATCCAAAGAATTGGAAATATGCTATTGATCACCAAAAGACGAAAATTCAAATACCTGGGTGACGTAGTGTGAGCGCAACGGTACGCATTGCTTCAACTCACTGTACAGGGCAACATTCAGGGTAAACGAAATGTGTGAAGAATAAACTGGCTAAAGGATTAGAGAGAGTAGGTCGAGTGAGTGCAGCAATGCAGATCTATTTAGCGCGGCTGATAATAAAATCCGCATAGTCGTAGCGCTTTGTAACCAACGCTAGAAGATGGAAATGGAAGAAGGAAACAGTCTGGAAGTTGTATAAAAATTTTACAGAGCAAATGGAATAGGCGGTGATAAAGAATATTGGATTTAAGGAATTTAAATATTTGCTAAAAAAGTACTCGGCGAGTGTTGAGAAGAGAGGCAGTCGTGTCTGGAGACGTACAGAGAAACAGATAGAAAATAAATAGAACTAGAGGATTTCAAATTTCTGCTACTGCTAAGTAAACAGCAGCATATTTACATGAGTATTGCTCCCGAATAAACGAAAAATCCTGTTTACAAAATAAATGTTTGCATGCATACGTTTATATTAAAATCATGCAGACGAGACACTTGCAAACGACCTGTTACAAACCTATGTCCAAATGCTTCTTGCTTCCAAAACACAGTCCCCCTGTAGATAAATTCAAATATAAATTTACAGCTAGTCTGCGTTTTGTAAACTCATAAAGATGCGGTCATAAATAGAGCCACTGACATAAAACAAGGGGGCCAAGTAGGTTGGTTCAGTAGGTACACGTACAGAGCTTATATTATAAGATATTCAAAACGTCGAAAGTTTTTGGAAGGCTGCAACTTGACATTGATTGCTTAGATAAGCCGTGGGTGTCGATCATTAGACTGATATTGATTTTTCAGTGAGATTTGCAGTAGCTCCCAACTTTCCATTGACAAACTTCAAGTTTTAGAGGTAACTATTGAACGAAATCAAAAACTCTTCCATATTTGCGATTTCGACCAAATCTCGTTTCTTCAGCATATATCAGTTTTTTGCAGAGCCCAACGAATTCAAACTAGGTAGAAGGAGCCAGTCAATGATGCGTTTGTCTCCTCTAACAAGATAGTTCATAGTTATGATCAACATACTACAAGTGTACCTAACATAGGTCAATATTTTGACAGTTCTGTCAATGAATTCATATTTTTGGTGTTGCTTTTTTAAAAGTGTGGTTGATTGCAGATAATTTTGATGGTGAACTATGGTACTTCTTACATTATTTGCAAAGAGCGGCACAAGCCTAATAAAGGCAGATGTTTCCCCCAGTAAGTATTATTGTTATGTTAATTCAACTCTGACACTTTGGTAAGCATTGGTAGTCAAATAAGTTAAAAGTAAGCACGAAAACTGTGCAATGCTGGTGCAGTGACATATAGGCTTGGCTTCTTCTAAACTATTCGAATTCGTAGACTGAGACAAGCAAAAGCACCCCAAAGTGCCATTTTTCTGCTCAAATAAGGCTTCGCGATATTCTAGCATGTTCTAAAAACCATATTCGGGATCAGAGCCCCAAATTGCCCCATTACTAAGCTGTTTGATTGTAACTGCGAAGTTAAATATTTATAAGTATACTTGTGAATCTGCAATCTCCATCAAATCCTGTTTTATCGAGTGCATAGATCAGTGATCTGATCAAATGTTTCCTAGTCCAAATAAGGTTTTTCAACACTTTAGGGCTCTTGGAACGCCATAATTAAAGTCAACTTCCTAAATCATCCCAGTTTATCGGTTCTCTTTTACTTGTAGGCGGTATATATATATATATATATATATATATTTTTTTTTTTTTTGAGACGTAGTCATTGTCGTTTAGACCAGTTAGGTGAAAAATCAAGCTTCCGCCTTTTGTTGGGTACTTCGACAAAATTCAAGCAAAGATGACTTTTTATACTCTATTAACCTCTTGCTTTCAATGGACTTTGCCATCTTCACCAGGAGCTGTAATAATATTGAGAAGAAATACCAACTATTCTGCAAAATGATTTTAAATTAACTTACAGTCGTTTGTGAGATTGTTGCTAAATGTTATTAACGTTTACGTTGAGGGAAACAACCAGTAACCTGGTGAATGCTGGATACATGGTACATTCGTCAAAATTAATATAAACTACACACAGCTGTATGTCAGGAACAAATTAAAATGAATTAAAGATATTTAAAACCAAAGTTAAAATTACATCGTGAACCACCTAATCCTGCACAAAATGGTGGGCACAGGATCACAAGTAGGATGAAACATTTGACAGATGACAGGCGGTTGGTGGTGTCAGTGTCGATGGATGGAACGAAAATTTCTTGTAAAGTGTGTACTATGTTGCCAAATCACTTCAGATGGTTTTAGTTATCAAGATATGTTAAATAAGAACTTGTCAACAGACCATTGAAAGCTAGCTTTGCTTGAATTTTGTCGAAGTACCCAACAAGAGGCGGAAGCTTTTTTCATATATATATATAAAACTTTAGTTCGGATGGAAGACAAATACTAGCAAGCTAGACCGCGAGGAGTATTTCAGGCATAGTTTATTGTGAACTGAAGTTATTAAATTGTTAATAATGTGCTATAAATGACTCGGCCGCGTTAGCATCAGTGCCTGGGACCACGCGGCTTCCGTATATCGACGTGAAAATGAGTGAAAAAAATAGATCAACGGAAAATCGATTTTTTTCTTTTTGGATAATGATCGACTTTCTAAAAATTGGGGATTATCGGCGACCGAAAAGTGAAGAGCGGTGGAGGGGGTTTGGATACGCCCATGGTAGAGGGTTACATTCCACAAAAGATATTATATTGAAAATCATGTTAGGCTGTGGGTATTGGGGGCGGGGGTGGGTGAGGACCAAGCCCCCTCACCCCTTGAATACACCAGCGATCACCAGACGTTCTTAATTTATTCACGCAGTACTTGCATATTCCTGTGGTATTGCCCTTCTTTATTATGAAGTACTTTCTCTAGCCGTTTTTAGGTGTTTTACCTTTAGAAGACATATTTACTGTTAAGAAGAATTGCTGTATACGTTCATCAAAGAAAGAAAACTGTTTAAAAAGGTACAAGACTCCTTATATTTACTTATTTACACACAGACGTCATCGACTTTTATTTACTTGTTCATGTTAGTGAATGATGAACTTACTTAAGAGTTTTTTAAGCAGTCGCTGGTTACAAAATCGATTATATGTATAGAAAAATAATCCATACATCCCTATACGCTAGTGCGTTATTATGTAAGTAATTCAAAAACAATACTTTTACATAAGATGAGCTTAGTATTCTTGACGGTCTTGTAAGGGTTCAACTTCAATCTTGACTTCTTGCAACCAGAAAGCAAGAATTTTTAGCCGAGTTCTAATAACGAAAAGTTACCATTTTCCGAAGCGAGAATACGTTTTCTTGTAATTTGTTTAAAAAATGTTATTCATATTAGGTGGCAGCCAACAAACGCAATTATGAAAAAGCAGCTTTTACAAAATTTTAGATAAAATAAGACCGACTGCCCGAAATATGACGCAAAAAGGGAAGAATTATTTGAATCAAGATGCTTAGATGAAATTGCACCCGACAAACATAATTAAACATGCTAGTCAACATTCATGTTGATTAAACCCCGATCACCCACACCGCAGTCGCGTTCACGTTGAAGTTAAAAATACATCAACACTAACACACTAACCCAAATGTTGTCTCAAAATAACCCTGCCATAACTTCCGCACTTTTTGGTTATGTAGAGAATATGATTAGAGGGAGAAGTAAAAAAACATACCTGCTGCTCTCCAATGTACCTGCTTTTTATTCCTTATTCTGGGATGGGGTTTGACGTGTGCGTTCCCCATAGCCCGAACTACAAGTTGACGTCGTGTTGAACATCATCACGGCTTTCGGCCAGGCGAGGCGACTATTTTTAGGAGAGACTAGCTGTCGACTGTCTATGTTTTGGCGAGAAGTTTGAATTTAAAGCTTGTTACATTCAAATTGAATGAATTCGATCGATCTTTTTTTAATTCAGCCGCCGCGAAGGCAGAGCCTAAAAATCGTAATATTGCGACTGCCCAAAAATAGTTGAACGGAACTTGTAACTCCGGTTTGTGAGCGGTCTAAGTTTAGAAGAAGTTGAGGAAGCAGCTTTTGGGAGGTTGGCTATATTCTTAGTTCCCTAGGAACAAATTAGTAGACGCACCGGCCAGTTCTCATTGCCAGGCGGAAATCTTTGCGATTCTGGCTTGTGTATCTCACATTCTGGAGGAGGGTGGGCCTAGGAGAAGAATAACAATCTTATCCGACAGCCAGGCTGCAATGAAAGCACTAAGTGCCTGTAAGATTACTTCGAGTCTTGTATTGCAATGCAGGGAGGCTCTGGATTGCCTCGGTATCGTTAATATGGGTACCGCGGCACGTTGGGATAAGGGGGAATGAGACGGCGGACACTCTGGCGAAGACACGATCAGCCAGCAAGCTTGTTGGTCCTGAGCCAGCTCTAGGAGCGACCGTGCATAAAGCTAGGAGGAAAATTGAGACGTGGGTTGCAAGACAATACTCTCAGAAATGGAGAAGTATCTCCAGACATCTCCGCCAGGCACGGGAACTCGTTGAAGGGTCCGTGCTAAGGATGGACGCTTCTGCCTATCTCTGGATAGAGCCAACCTAAGGTTGATGTTGGGACTGTTGTCTGGCCATAACACGTTAAGGCGTCACCTGCACGTGATGGGGGTGGCTGAGGATTCCTTGCGTGAATGCTGCGGGGTAGAGGAAGAGACCTGAGCTCTGAGCTACTATAGGCAGACTATACTGGGGTCCATTACTTTGGACCCTCATGACGTCAAGGAGCTTGGACTCAAGGCGATTCTCAACTTCGCTAAAAGGGCGAGGCTTGTGATCTAAGGATTGTAGAGATGCATAAGGGCCCGCTTAATCGGCCTATTCACTGGCTCCTTATGGTGGCCGGAATGCCTCTAATTTCAAGATTCATGCATTCATTCTCATTGCCGAGTCAGAACTAGGAGCAGAAGCCTGGCGGGTTATTTTGGCAGGGCAAAACCTGTGAGGTATTGATGTTTTCCAACACTGGTGGAACTTTTAATTTGGTTTCAAGTGAATGTAAGAAATACCTTTGAAGCTTCCGATTTTTGAAATAAAATGACAATACGTCTACAGGAAGTTAACATATAGATAATACAAGCTAGATAAATGATGTCCATTTCTTCAGTATCACTTGAGTGTACCATTTCGTGAAAAAAAAAAGATAACTCCAAAAGCAACAGCTATTAGGATAACTCAACGGAAAAATGATCCGTCAGGAATTCGATATGCGTTTTGATGATTTACATCGTTCATACTATAACTCTGGAAAATCCCAGTTCGGCTAACACAGAACTTGAACAAATGACAATACGCCAAAAGAAAGTTAAAAGACAGTATAAAGCTAGATACATGGATTCAAGGTCTTTTTCGAATTTACAGTATTATTTATTTTATTACTTCCTACTTCATGATAAAATCAGTTTTAAAATGAGAGGTGTTAAGATAGCCCACCGAAGAATTAAAAAAAAATAATATAAAGAATGCGACTTATGGTTCCCCATGCATAATGGAAATGAACCGATGCACAGGTTTTACGTTTGCATCATTCTAAAAACTATACATTTACAGAGCGCACTATCCTCAATCAGGGGAAGAGTTAGGTACAAGATGACTTACGAGATATTTGTGTTTGCTTTTTTCGTTTACTCAAGAAGTGGAACTTTGTGTTAGAGTTCCCCATCCTACACTGTTTTACAAACGTTTTCTTGGGATTCACATCACTGATCGATAGGATTGGTTAAACTGAAATATTTTCTTGATTGGACCTACACCACACCTATTAGGCAGATTTCACAGAGCAACAGAGCGTCACATTAGAATAAGTTCCGCTAGCTGGTTCCACATGGGATCAGCAACCACGTTTCAATATCAAAAGCGTAGAGTATATTCTGCTCCATTTTATTTTCCGTATATTTCCAATCTGCGATGATATCCTACAATGACAGCCTACAGTATTGGGCCGGTACTGTACCATTCTTGTGTTACTTGTACAGAAAAGCAATAACTACACCAAAAAGTTCTTCAACCCCGATAGAAGTTATGTTTCTTATGTTTTGTAATATCGTATTTAGCCAGAAGTAAAATAAGTTTAACCGCTACGATTTTTTCTGTAAAAAATTACTCTATACAACCAACATTACTTACTATGGGTTCTTATCATCGTACTTTGCTCAAATTCTTCAAAAGCGAAACAGCTGATGTTGAAACCGCGAGCAAGAATCGCGAAAGGTCAAAATATTGATCGAATTTATACAGTATCAGGTATATTTTTGCATGTAGATATTTTTTTTCATACTGCAATGTTTAATAAATACCCATGTTCAAAATTTACAAACCGCCAATCCGGCTCGGAGGAGCAAATTTCACAGCTAAGTGGTCATTCAATGTACTATGAAGCATCTGCCATCTGTTCGTGATTATAGACAGCAGAGATTGTGCTACGCAAGGTATCGCTTGCTGAAGTGAAAGCTTTACAGCGGGATAATCATGTGGTTTATACTGAAATGCCTAGATGTCGCCCTCCGTACGAGGCAGTACACGATCTGTTCCAACATGAATGCATGCTTCCAATTACCATTGTAATACAAGCTGAAGGCTACAGATGACTCTGTTACTAGAACTGGAGTTTACGCTCATCCCTTATGTGAAAAGCTTTTGATACAGCAAAACCTGGTATAGCTTAAACCAAGACATGGCGCAGAACAATAATTAACATACTTAAAAAAGAGTGTGAAAAATTGGCATATTTTGTCGCTGAATGACGATATTTATATTTGTTTACATACATCACAATCTATTTTTACATATGATTTGTGCACCTTTGGTTGTAAAATTCCCCGAGCTAAATTTAATTTTATGAATTAGTTCAAAATCACCTGGTGTTCTTATGTTTCGAACGATTTTTTCAACAACTGAATTCGAGAGTCTTGTGTGAAATACGTTTTTCTATATTGAACAACGAAGGCAAAGCTCTTGAATACGGGGGTACCGCGACTGCTACAAAAAAGGCTGACGATAGTATTGCGTCGATTTTTTGATATATAACATTTGCAAATTAGTGAAGTGGTTCAGATATGTATTGTGGTAACTGTTCTGAAGCTACTGCTGAGGCATTTGAAGTTTTGTCTGAGATAAGTGGGATTTATAAATATTCATATGAGGTAAGATGTCTTGTTTTTCTGAAAGCTGGGCTTAGTTTTTCGTTGGGTTGCGTGATCATTGATATTGATATTACTGCGTTTATATAATTATTATGAATATAAGAAGCAGTAGCTTAGCGAAGGGGGGTATGGGGGAGTGTCTCACTCCCCGCCAATCTTTTCGGGAGTCGGCATTTTTGGTGTGTATATATTTAAACACAAAAAATTGTACGCGATTATAAAAAATAATTTTTCGGAACTTATACATACTTTTTATTTCTCTTCTGTTTAGTTTATCTACTAGTATCTCATTATCATGAAAAATTTCGACTAATGACTATTGAGTCGTTAGTTGGAAAAAGTCGTAAAAAAATTATTTAAACTAAGCGCTGTGGTGTTGATAAAAAATTTCCGCTAATGACTGTTGGGTCGTTAGTCGGCATTTATGAAAGTTTCAACTTCCCGAAATGTATGCTTTTATTTCTGCGTATCGTTCTGCTTTTTTTTATACTCGAAGGCCTAAGGCCTAAGCACCCATTGGGTACAGTGGGGCTATAGGGGGATACATGGGAAAGCGGGAACACCGCCTACGAGATCCGCCGGGTGGTACCTCCGCGTTCGACAGTCAGAGACCGTCTACCACCTACGGACAATCACAACATCCATAGCCAAGAGAAAAATTTCTCCTGGGACGGGACTCGAACCCGCACAGCGCACGGCGACTGATCAGGAGACCGAAGAGTCTGCTACTGCGGTCACCGCTGCTGCCTGTCTCTAATTACGATGTATATTCCTTTAATTTTCTAAAAATTCTTAATTATTACATCCATTGTATTGTATGTATAAAGTATAAACTACAGTTTTGATTGCAATTAAGTGTAAAATACCATGTAGTAAAATCGGCAAATTTTTTTACGAGTCGGCATTTTTAGTGAAATTAACCCCCCGCAATTGCAGGGTTCGCTACGCCCCTGCATACCGATTCCACTAATCTTCCAAACGTGGACATAATAATGCTTAATGGTTAAATACACTACGTGAAACATTTATGCTTTGGCATGCATCATAATTTATAATATTGAGCCCAGTGGTTTAAAAGTCGCAATTATGCCCAAAATTAAACAGTTTCACTGAATTAAAAAAAAATCAATTTCTACGGTCGCTGATAACGTAGAAGATATCCATCTGTCAAATATCAGAATAGCGGATTCAATATTGTGCACATATTTGCAAAAAAATGTATTCATTGAGCTCCAATTTGAGTTTTGAATGCTTTCAGGGTCGCTAATAACGAATCTGATATCGATTACGTTACTAATGTGACAGCTGTCTGCAAAGAAATAAACGTTAAGTAATCATTTTTAAGCAGTTACCATTAATTTTGTTTTGTTTGTTCTATACTCTTTTGAATAGAGATTTTTTGGTAGATTGCTTTTCTCCTGTCCCAATACAAAAACTCTTAGAACTTATTCTGTGTTTGAGTTATATTTAGAGGTTAGAAAATGTCTTATGTTCTAGTCCCCGTGTACTTAATTTTCTGTGGTTCTCATATTAGAACAGATCATAAAACCGAAAATAGGCATTTTGGTGGTTAATCAACCCTTAGATTTTACAGGGAGTCGCATACGACGAAAGGCTCATTTAAAAAAAGTTGAATTCAGGCATGGACGCTTACACATAAAAAATGTTTAAAATTAAAAGGAGAATCTCAAAATACAAAAATAAAATCGACTTTTGATTAAAA